TTTCAATGTTTCAGTCAGACAAAAGGCACGAGACAAAGTTTTGGGGTGAGGGTGGAATGTATTTGTCTTAAAGGGAAGAAGTTTTATAACGTTAAACCTAAGTATTTACCTTATGACATTAATTTGGTGTTATATGAGGAATGAAATATTCATTTAAAATTAAAAGAGGAATAAAAAGGGTTTTAAAATGTCTAAAATCTATAGATAAAACGATGTAAAGGATTAAAGAAAGAGAATTGGGGGGTGATCTTAGACTTAGGGAAAGTTTATAAATTATAATATAGTGTAAAGAGGTTATAGAAGGGAATATAGAAATTAGAATTAACTATACATTCGACATTTGAAGAGTTAGAGGGGAGTGAATATTATTGAAATATAGTAGCTAAGTTAAAACTATATTATAGAAATTTGAATTTGTTTTTATGTCGACATTTTAACTCATTCCTCTGATTCAATATTACAGGAGGTTTCAATACCAGTTTTATTGTTTGTCCCATATATATATATATATATATATATATATATATATATATATATATATCTTCTTTAGATTCTTTCCTTTTTACATCCGCCTCTTTAATTTTCTTCTTTTTCTTTATTTCCCACTTTCTACTTTTCTTTCTTTCCCTTTTGCACTCTCTCCCTCTCTCTATTTTTTCTACCATTCTCTTTCCTTTCGCCCCATCCTTTTTCTCCTCATACTTCTCTCCTACGCACCTTACCTCATTCTCTCTATCTTTTGTCTCGTCTCTTGTTCGTCCTTTCTTTTCTTTTTATTTATTTCCTCTCTCTCTTCACCTTCAAGCTTTCACTCTTTCTATTTCATTCTCTCTCTTTGCTTTCCTTTTCTCTGTTTTCGTTTCTTTTCTTCTTCTTCTTCTTCACTTTCTCTCTTCTTTCTTCCCCTACATCCCCTATACTCCTTTTTCGTCTTCTATATTCCCCGTTTTTTTACCTTGTTTTATATAGATTTATCTTCTCCATTCTATTCTCGCCCTTTTTCTCTTTCTCTTTCTTCCTCTATTTTCTCCCTCTATCTCTCTCTTCCTACTAATTTCACACGTTTTCTTTCTCACTTACATATAGCTACTTCTCGTTTTTCAGCTCCTCTTTTTTTTTCGCTACATCACCTTCTCCTTTTCTCTGTCTGTTATTTTCTATTTCACTTGCTCTCTCTCCTTTTTTCTCTTTTCTTTCCATTTCTTTCAACGCTTACCTCATTTATTTGTCTCCCCACTAGTTGATTTTTCTCCCTTCAGTTTTCTTCATCTTTCTTTTTCACCCATACTTGCTATCCTCCCTGTTCTTTATTCTTCTCTCTCTCTCTCTCTCTCTCTCTCTCTATCTATCTATCTATATATATATATATATATATATATATATATATATATATATCTTTCTGCCCTTCGTTTGTCTCACCACTTTTTCTTTTTTTTATTTGTCTCTCTTCTTTTCTACTACATTTATTCTCTCTTCTTTTTCTTTTACTCTGTCGATCTCTCTTCCCCCTTTTTTTTATTTCTTTTTTTCTCTTTATCTTTCCTTCTATTCTCCTCTTATTTCCCCTTGTGTGTTTTTCTCTCTCTGATCAGATTTCGTCCCCGTTTATTTTTGTTTCTCTCCCTATCTCCCCTCACTTCCTTTCTATATCTATTTCTTTTCTTTTTTTTACAATGTGTCTTTCTTTTATTTCTGTATTTCCTCATACAAATTTCCTCTCATTCTTTTTTTTTATTTCATGATCTCCCCCTCTCCTCCGTTTAACCTCTTTTGTATCTTCCTCTACTTACGTCCTTTCTTCTGTTTAATATTCTTTCCTTCTTATTTTCATTTCTTCTGTCTTTCTCTCTCTCTTTCTTTTTACCACTCTTCCTTTCTTTATTATCTTCTCGCTTACTCGTTTTTCTCTCTTTTCTTTTTTTTTACCTCTCTTCATTTATTCTCCATCTTTTTCATTCTTCCTTTTTTTTCTCTCTTTCTATTCGCATCTTCCTTTCTTCTTTGTATATCGTTTTCTTTCACTGTCTCTTTTCTCCTCTCTTTTTTTCTGTTTCTGTTTTTCTTACTGCTTTTTATTTCTCTTTCTTTTTATCTTCACTTTCATTCATTTCTCTCACTCTCACTCTCTCTCTCTCTCTCTCGCCCCTCAACTCTCTTCATTTTTCTCTCTTTAACGCTCTTAATTTGTTTCTCTTTCTTTTTATCACCCTTCTTTTCTTTCTCTTTGTCTCTCATCTTTCTTCTTTTTCTCTTTCTATACCTTTCTCTCCTTAACCCTACTCATTCCTTCCCTCTATCATTATCTCCATTTATCCCCTCTTTCTCTCTCTCTTTCTCTTTCTCTCTCTCTCTCTTTATCTATCTATCTATCTATCTATCTATCTATCTATCTATCTATTTCTCTCTGATATACAGAATCTGTCCTTCTTTCATTGTTCGTTTTCTCCCTCTTGATCATCCGCTCCTTCAACACGCAAATCCTCTTCCCCGACTTTTGTAGGAGTTCATTTCGCATAATTGCCCGCCATACATGAACCGCGCATGCGCACAGAAGCAGTGAAATTATGTCGGTCAATCCCACCTTCTAGATTCCAAGTTAATCTCAAGATCAAAACGTTCTTTTTCTGCTTCTTTCGTTTTAACTCTTTTGTTTAAAAATTCAAGCTTGGGGAGTAGGAGCGTGGGGAATGAGGTGTGGGTGGACCACGCCCCTAGCCTATATTACATAATCAGGAACAATTATTTGCTTGAATTACCCAGTTTGATTTTAAATGGCAGAAGTGGTTGTGGGGTAAAAGTGAGAAAGAGAGAGAAAAAAAGAGTGAGAGAGAGAGAGAGAGAGAGAAAGAGAGAGACAGGGAGATGAAGTGAGGGAGTGTAAAAAAGGGAGAATAGTCTCTGAAAAATGTAAACAACAGGCGAGTGAAGGGCGGTGGGGAGGGGAAAAGAGAGTGAATAATTCCAGTAAGTAATCCGTTTCCTAATCTGTTTGCGGTGGGTGGGGTCGGGGTGTGCAAGACACTTTGAAATGAACGAAAACAAACAAGAAATGGGACAATTTGGAAAAAAAAATTTTCGCATTTTTGAATACAGAAAAATGGGAAAAATATATTTATACATATATACTTATATATTTATACAAAATATATCACCAAAAAAAAAGACCAAATTTGATTACCCTTAAATAGCCCTTATCGATTTGCAAGGCTGGCCTTTGGATAAATTTGCAAATCAAATTTCTATTCAGAATGTGATTGGAGCTACACAATGTTGTATATCCTTCAAACATGGCCCGTGCACTTGTACGATCGTGCATATGGAGCCAGCCGTAGTTCCGCTTGTGGATTTCGGTAAGAGGGTCGCATCGCATCATCCAATGACAAACTAAGAAACACTTTGTTAAATATCTATAGGGTACTTATCTCGCAACAATTATAGGGACTCAGTTAAATGAGACCTGTGTCAAAATGGGGAGAAATCTATAATTATAGGGACTCAGTTAAATGAGACCTGTGTCAAAATGGGGAGAAATATCTATAGGGTACTTATCTCGCAACAATTATAGGGACTCAGTTAAATGAGACCTGTGTCAAAATGGGGAGAAATATCTATAGGGTACTTATCTCGCAACAATTATAGGGACTCAGTTAAATGAGACCTGTGTCAAAATGGGGAGATGTTTCATAATGCCTAAGAACACTCACCCTAGAGCAATACCTATCAAATTCATCTAACACGTTATTGTTCGTATAATGAACTTGATCTTCACTCGGTGCCAAATAATCTTAGCTTTAGTTACTAGCCTAATCTATAAATTCTGTTCCCGTATGATCACCGAAGTTAGGCAATGTCAAGCCTGCTCACTGCCTAGATGGGTGACCATTTGGGAATAACTGGTGTTTTAAGCTTGGATGTCCGGTTGGTAGAATGGGCTTATGGCCTTATCACGTTGAAACATTGGTTCCCATACGATCACTGAAGTTAGGTAGCGTCAGTACCTAGATGGATGATCGCTTAGGAATATTACTGCTGTAAGCTTGGGTGTGCAGGTGGTGTAATTGATAATGGCTCGGAATTGTTAATCGTTGAACTGAGTTCCATTTCCAGTTGGGTGCGTTACATTCACTTTAGCGCAAATACCTTTGAAAAAGGTGCGAATTCACGTCTTTTCCCCCGCTATGGATTAATTAGTAAAACTTGTATCACTAAGCCATTATTATTTCCAAAAAGCTTCTTAGAATCTAAAATATTTTCTGGTTTTAAATAACATGCAAAAGGTTGGTAAGCCGTAAAAAAAACTAAGCAGTTAATCGATTTCTGGTATGAGGAATTATCATATTTTTACCATATTTACATTCAGAATAATGTCTTCATCTTTGTTGTTGTTATCAAAACGTTTGGACCGTTGAGACCTCTGGAGTTCTTCAGGTGTCTGTAAATCCGGATAACATTTTAGAAATTTGGAAGTGAATATTTTACTTAGTCTTGGGGGTGATGGAAAGCAGAACAAAAATATTCGAAATACGTACCATGGAAGGTATTAGATGTAAAAGTTTGAACTGGTAGAAATAAGGAGTTTTCTTTTGTGTGGTCAGCTAAATCCTGTTGAATACGCCTGATCAGTCACATTTGTCATGATCTACAGGGCCAAATTGTGCAACAAATGTTATGTTTCTTTTTATGTTTTTTTTTTAATTATTATTTTGTTGTTGTTGTTGTTGCTGTTGTTGTTGTCAGATGCATATCATTTTTCTGTAAGTGGTAGCCAAAAACTTTGTTACTGCAATGTCCGTATATCGTTTAGCATTGTCCATCAATTTTTATTTGTAGCGAATGGGTTTATCTTATTCATTTATCTACTGCAGCTATATGTTGTTGTTGTTCTTGATGTTGTTCTTGTTGTTCTTGTTCTTGTTCTTGTTCTTGTTCTTCTTCGTCTTCTTCTTTTTCTTTTTATTCTTCGTCTTCTTTTTCTTTTTCTTCTTCGTCGTCTTCTTCGTCCTCTTCTTCTTCTTCATCTTTTTCTTTTTCTTCTTCTTCGTCTTCTTCGTCTTCTTCGTCTTCTTCTTTGTCTTCTTTTTTTTCTTTTTCTTGTCGATTATTTGAAATTAAAGAGTACATAGGGAATCGTGGGTCTCTTCTGTCTTTTTTTAGCTCTTTGTAAAGTTTGTCTTTTCTTTTCTCTCCTAATTTCTGGTCTGCCCTTCTTTTTCTCCTGTTCGTTAAGTAGGTTATGCGCTGTTTTTATCCTTTCCCCTTGCTTTCAATATATCAAGTGAGTGTCAAATTTTCTAAGCCCTCTTTCCTCACTATGTGCCCTGGAAATTACAACTGTCTCATTCGGGAGTAAAGTATAAATGTCCTTTTCACTTCCATTTTTTCTAAAACATTTCTCGTTGCTCACATGTTCAATGCTTGAAGACAGAATTTTGTCACCTCAATCAGCACGGTCGGTGTCGTAAAGGATGGTACAAAGCGATGCATAAACCGTCTTCACCAGTCAATATATGGCTGGTACCAAGCGATGCATGGACCACCTTCACCAGTCAACATATGGCTGGTACCAAGCGATGCATGGACCACCTTCACCAGTTATCATATGGTTGGTACCAAGCGATGCATGGACCACCTTCACCAGTTAAAGTATGGCTGGTACCAAGCGATGCATAGACCACCTTCACCAGTCATCATATGGCTGGTACCAAGCAATGCATAAACCACCTTCACGAGTCAACATATGTCTGGTACTAAGCGATGCATGGACCACCTTCACCAGTCAACAGACGGCTGTTACCAAGCGATGCATGGACCACCTTCACCAGTCAACACACGACTCTTATTAGGTTGGTGCAGAAATAATATCGTTTTTTGACGTTCAACTTCAAAAGATTATAACTCCTTTCATAATAAACTTTATTAATCGAAATAAGAACCATTAGAATCGACATATTTTTGCCAGTGAGAAACAAATTTATTTATCCCATTAGCATAAAAATCCAGAGTTCTGGAAGCGATGAAGTCATTGAATGCCGATTCGGCATCATCTCGGCTTTTGAAGCATTTTTCGCGCAGGAAGTTGTCGAGATGCTTGAAAAAGTGATAATCGGTGGGCGAGAGGTCCGGTGAATATGGCGGATGAGGCAGAGTCTCGTAGCCCAATTCGTTTCAGCATCTGCAGGGTCAGTTGAGCAACATGCGGGCGAGCGTTGTCATGGAGGAGAATTGGTCCCTTCATATTGACCAATCTCGGGCACATACATTGGAGCTTCTGGTGCATTTCGTCAATTTGTCGGCAGTACTTCTCCGCCGTAATCGTTTCGCCCGGATTCAAGAAGCTGTGATGGATTTGACCGGCCGCAGACCACCAAAGAGGCACCATAACCTTTTTTTTGTGCAAATTCGGCTTCTGGAAGTGTTGTGGAGCTTCTCCGGCATCCAACCACTGTGCTGAACGTCGCCGATTTTCGTAGAGGATCCACTTCTCATCACACGTCACAATCCGCTCGAGAAATGGGTCGTTTTTGTTGCGCAGAAGGAGCGTAGAAGACACCTCAAAACGACAGTTTTTTGATTATCGTTCAATTCATGCGGCACCCATTTATCCAACTTTTTTGACTTCCCTATTTGCTTTAAATGGCGAACGACTGTTGAGTGGTCGACCTCGAGTTCAACAGTAACTTCTTGTGTGGTTTTGCGAGTATCGGCTTCAATTAAGGCTTTCAAATGTTCGTTATCAACCGCAGTCGGCCGGCCGCGACCGTCTTCATCTTCGAGGCTCTCGTCACCATTGCAAAATTTCTTGAACCACCGTTGTGCTACACGTTAGTTAGTGGTTCCTGGGCCAAACGCATCATTCATATCACGAGCTGTCTCGGCAGCTTTTAGGCCTAGTTTGAACTGGAACAAGAAAATCGTGCGGATTTGAATTTCGTCCATGCTGTCGAAAAGCCTGAAAAAAATGAATGAAGAGATTGAGAACGGTAACGAATAACACGATTCGATAGAGCGAAAAACGCACTTCAAAATGATATATAACATGGCTATATATACCAATGAATTAATTCAGAAATCATATATAAAAGTAACATATGTGAGAAAACGACATTATTTTTGCACCAACCTAATACCAAGCGATGCATAGATCACCATCACCAGTCAACATATGGCTGGTACCAAGCGATGCACGGACCACCTTCACCAGTCTTCATATGGCTGGTACTAAGCTATGCATAGACCACCTTTACCAGTCAACATATGGCTGGTACCAAGCAATACAGAAACCACATTCACCAGTTATCATGTGGCTGGTACCAAGTGATGCATGAACCACCTTCACGAGTAAACATACGGCTGTTATCAAGCGATGCATGGACCACCTTCACCAGTCTTCATATGGCTGGTACTAAGCGATGCATAGACCACTTTCACCAGTCAACATATATTTCCTTTTTATTTTCAATTTTCTTTGGTTGCTTCCAGTACAGGAGTTGTATTTCCCCT